CCATTTTTCTCTTCCCGCTATCCCAGAAGGACAGCTACGATGACCCCAACTTTCCACCGGGGGAAAGTTGAGGCTCAGCAAAACACAGCGACTGCCCACGTTTGCACAGCTAGTGACAGGACCAGGCATGGGCCAGTTTCCTTCCTCCCAGCTCAGGCTTTTCCTCCTGGTTTTAGCAGCCCCCTCCCTGCCTCTCGGGGACCCAGAGAGGGGTCACGTGCCATAAGTATTACAGGGTATAAGACTCACTGAAGTGCTTTGGTTTCTCGAGAACAAACGCTACGTACAAGTAGCCAAGGTGCTTCCCTGGCCCCTTCTGTAGCGCTGGGACGGGGTGGGGGTGTTAAGGCCCGGGGGGTAACTTGGTATTGTCAGCACTGTTCTCAGGAAGTTTAGGAAGGGGCTGGATCCTCTTCCACTCAGGCTGATGGAAGCTGACTTCCAAGTTCACTACCACCAAATTCAAAGAAAGGGTCTTGTCCCCTCTGGCTACTTACCACAGAAACAGTGACACTCTCGACTAAGCCCTGTGCTTTGAGGACTGGCCCCTGACCCCTGCTCTCCTGACCTATCTATCCTCCCTTCTTCCCGGCCCATGCCTGTGCTAACACACTTGGCTAGGGTGAGAAAAACAGAAAACAGCTAGCGAGAGACGGTCCCGCCAAGCCCACGCTTCAGCACGGAGCACAGGAGAGCGCTTCTGACCGTGATGTGTCAATAAATTCAAAACTACAGGAATGCTGTAAAACGAGGCCCTGAGCTCACCAATACACGATAGCATCTTCATCCAGTATGGCAGTGTGGGCGCTGGGTAGCAGAGCCGGGAACGAGGGCATGAGACCAAGTTTTGACGGTCATTTCTGCGTGTGAGCGCTGGGGTTTGAGTAGCACTTTCACACACCACACACGTGGACATGGGAACGGCGACTATGGGTAGCGATTACTCATCAGACGCAATGAGGGCCGGAAACTGTCCCCAGCGCCAGTCTATGTCAAATTTGAGACATCATCTCAGGTTCTGAGTAGGGCCACTCAAAAGCAGAATGTTTCAGAATGGATAAATTAGGAACGTTCAAAAACAATTTTTGAGCTAATAAGCTTAAGTTTTAGTATCTTCTCTTGATTTGTACTTCTGCTTTTAGTATCGTGAAAATAATAAATAGTCTGTAATTTAGAAATGTGTTGTTTTTGTCAGGAAGATTGCTAAGTGATATATGTAATCAATGTGTTTTGGTCCAGAGATATTTTCTGGAAGAAGAGAAATACTGTAATACAAAGAGGAACACTACATTGCTACACCTGCCTTTATCCCCCGCCCCCAAAATTAGAGCCACTTATTAACTGAATGCCAGTTTTGTTTCATTTGGTGGAGAGAAAAGTGGGCTGGGCCCACATCTCGATGTGGTGGCACTGAAGAAATCCCTAGCATCATGGAAAGCTAGGCCACATGGCCAGGGAGCGGTAGAGAGGCCCCAGAGACAGTGACAGTCTAACAGCACCCAGACCCTTCCGACTGGTCAGGGTGGGAGGTGGGCTGCCTCAAAACTGAAGCCACATTTTTGCAGATCTGCCAGGAGTGGCCCAGCAGGAAAGAATGACTACATTCACAGACTCTTCTGCTCTCAATTTTGTAATCAACTCATCTTTAGCAATGTCTTTTACAGCCTAAAATCCTTGTGGAAATAAGGACCCTAAAAAGACTTGAGCACATTGTCATTTTGGAAGGCAGAGTTACAGACCAGCAGTGGCCAATGACACCGGAAGGGTGTTGGCACTGAGTGAACTGGGCTCTTGCCAGCCCTGCCTCCTACCCCACAAAGTCAGGGCTAGGCAGCAGACTTCAAATAGAAACTTCTGTGATGACGATTTGCGGATTAACCCAAATTAACAACCAGCATTAGAATTTGAGGCAAGAGGTCTACATGGACAAGCAGGCACAGGTGCAGCTCTTGTCCACAAGGATGGAAACCCTGGCGGCAAGCACAGGTCTCAGGTGTGAACGGCCTTTTGAACCACACCCTGGATGGCATAAGTGGCTGCATGTGAGACTTCAAGTGCAAGTCACACCAAAGCGGCCTGAAGTCCCCCACACTGGGCTTCAGGGTTTTGAACCCGTCTCTAATTCAGAAGCCCCTTCCTGCACAGGGTCCTTGTTTGAGTGACCTTGTGGGTCACTAGGGGACCCACATCTGCATTTGCATCAGTCTCCTCTTTCAGAATACCTGGAGAAAACACAACAGGCGAGGTGTGATTTACAATCTGGAGATGAAAGTGAGAGAGGTGATGGCTTCCCCAGGATGTCAGGGGTGGGGATCGAAAGCCAGGATAAAGGGAAGATGGCTCCCAGGCAGCACAAAGCACCACCATCAAAGTCACTATGGATTCACTCCCGGGCAGCAGTTCTCTATTCCCGGTCTTGGATCTCAGTTTTGCTCTGATGCTAGTGCTCTGCTCTGCTCACACTGAACTATTTGGAAGGGGGGCAGGTGTCAGACAAGGAGTTATGGAAAGCTCACAAATCTAAATGTTTATTACTAAGAAATACATCTCTGCCATTTCACTCACAGATGAAGCAGAAATTCCTTCTCTCTCCCTTTGCCTTCTTGGGTTTTCTATCACCCAACCCAAAGGAGCCCTGGAATCATTTGATATTTGAACCCCAGATGAAAAGGTCCCTGGCATTGGGACGTTTTCAGGAGAGGTAGCCAGCCTGCATTCTGTGCCTTGAAAGCATCATCTGTGTTGTCGACTAATAAGCAGGACAGGGAGCAAGAAAAGCACAGCATGAAGGGTGCAATTCTGCACACACTCTGTTCATACTTGGTAAATTAAGATGCTTGCAGCTCAAGTAGGTCAGGAAAAGAGAAGGGAAGGGACACTATCCACGCAGTTGTCCTCCTGCACCATGGCCTGTGGGACCCTGAGGGATGTTCCATGGCATGGCTTCTTGGGAAACCAGTTTGACTTGGTAAGATAACTCTGGTGTCATCCAACCTTTTCTTGTAGCACAAAATCGCTACAAGTGTTCACAAACAGGTGTTGTCAGGAGGCACTGAAGGCCACTGTCCCAGGAGACCCCACTGGCTGAGATCTAGTCTCTGTGACACGTCCCCTGGCTCTCACTCCAACAAAGGCACCAGCTCTGTCTGCAGCCTGCTAAGGGGGTCACTGTAGCACAATGGCCCCAGGGCTAGGGAGTCTGTGGCAGGGACAAATCCAAGCTCACAGGTCACAAATCAAATTAATTTGTTCCCAACAGAAAACAAGGCGTACTCACCTTTGAAAATCCTCCAAATCAAAACTAAGTGGCCTATTTCAAATCAGGAACCAAAAGGGATCACAAATGGCAAACAGACTAACTCAAAGGATCGACTTCCCCTTGGTCCAGAATCTTCCAAGAACATTGCTGTCGAAGAAGTCTAAGCTTCCTTAATAGCTCTGGGCGGAGGTGGGCAGAGAGCCACAGGCAGGGAGAGGGTGAGCTGGACAGGTCCTGCTTCCCACAGCCACGCCCTTGCTAAACTTGCAGGAGACAGAGGAGAAAGAATCCATTCCAGAGAGGCCTCTTGTCATAGTCCGCCCATCCTATTGGCAGAGTTGACCCTATCTCGTGTGGCACCTTTCCCATACAGAATGCAACCTGAGCAGCTGGCTTTTGGTCCATGGGGCTGATTGCCAAAGCCAGTGAGCTAGTGAGCCATCTGTGCCCTGTTCTGAGCACAAGATTGGGCACCCTGGCACTGACAAGCCTCGGTTCCTGTGTATTGGTCATATTGGCTGTGTGGCCGCTGTGTCCAGAAGGATGACCAAGAAATAATGCAATGGTTCCTTTTCCTTGGGGAGCGTGTGGGCCTCCTTTTCCTGAGGAGTTGGCTAGTGGGGCCAGCCTTGTCTGGAGAGGCTAAGGAAGGTTGCTTCACGTAGGGAAAGGTGGCAGTCCTGTGTGTGCACTCCTGAACCCACGCATGGGTGGGCCACTTGTGGAGGCCCTCAGAGAGAGGATGCCTGGTCTCCCCGTGATGCTCTGCTGTCCCCGAGGCTCCAGGATGTTATCAAGCAATGTCCTGGGCTGCTGTGTGCCTTGGTTTCTGTCCCCAACACGGGTATGGTAATCCTGAAGGGAACATGCAATTTGGGAATTGTAAGATAAGACCTGGATATCCAGGGTCACAGGATCTAGGGAGGAGAAGTTGAGAGAAGAAGCATGTCGCCAGGTAATATGGAGGCATTGGGACACAGGACAGGTAGAGCTAAACTCTTGCTTCTGGGCAGTAGAAAAGCTGTGTAGCCCCCCTCTCTGCCTCCTCCTTGCTCTAAACCAGTAGTGCTGGCATTTCTGAGCACATGCAAGCCTAAGGTCACTGCACTGACAGCCTCACCCTACTTCAATAGTATCACAAAACAGGAAAGATAAAAGAAAAAAAAATGAGTATGGTTCTGTTGAATCGGTGCAAGCTTTGAATCCAGAGTCTTTGGAATAGAATAAGAATTTGTTTTGAGGGCTGTGAAAACCCTGGGGTGGAGAAAGAGTACACATGGAACAAATAGCCCACCTACAAGGAGAAGGCGGGCCCAGGTCTCATGGGATCGCTTATCCATAAAGATAAGCCCAGCTCTTTTCCAGTCACAGAACCTCACGTCCCCCTGGCCTGCCGCCACCATGCTGCTTGTGGGAAGTGCTGCCTTCCAAGCCTCTGGAAACACACGGGTCCTCGTGCTGGGGAAGTCTCTACCTCCTGTGTGAGTGGCCTCACCAGAAGAACCATACAAGACAGCTGACATTTATTCATATGCAATACTGGTTAGGAAATATCGCTACAAACACACCTTACTTAGAAACATCCAATCAGAAAGAGGATAAAACACCAAGAGAAAACGAGCCGTAAATACATTGCAAAAATGTGTTCGATTTTCGTTTTTGTTGGTTTTGTTGTCTTTTTTATCCTGACTAGCACCATCTGTATACAAGAAAGTTAAGAACAAAAACGTTTGGATAGTCGTAAAGATTTGCAAGGCACTTGATCCATCACTCTGGGTCGTCTTGTTGGTGTTTTGTTTTGCTTTCAACGCCACATCCAGCGCCCCCTCCCCTCCTCACAAATGCAGGCAAGAGCGAGGTCTCTCTGCTAGCAGTTCTTATGTACAAGCGAGTTCTTGGAAGTTCCTCAACGTGCCCTCCAGTCTCGCAGGCTTCTACGTCCTAGGCTTCCCATCACCGTCTCCGTCCATGTGGTTTGTTGTCTGCACCTTCCCTACAGAAAAACAGAAAAATCGCCTTCCTCTCCTCACTCACTCCAGACTTGCCACCAACCTTCATCCTCATCCTACAGTCTCTGAGTGCCGCCAGCATGGAGGGCCTGGGGAGGGCGGTGTCTCTCTGAAGTCCTGAGAGCGAGGGGACCCGCCAGGCCAGGCCCAGCCTCCTTACCGGCGCCTGGAGGTGACGTCGAAGCAGGTGACCATCATGAGGTGGGCCTTGCAGAAGTTGACGCGGCTCTCCAGGCGCTCTGTCACACACTCGAGCGCCTCCAGGTACTCCAGGGAGTCCAGCTCCAGAACCTGCTCCAAGTCAACTGCAACAGAAGGGCGGGGAGGGACACTCAGCCACCGCAAGAACGTCTCCTTAGGCCACCGGTCCAAGGTCACTGTCTTAGGTGGCCTGGCCTTCCCTCCTCTCTGGTCCTGGTTCCATTCCTGATGTTCAGCTTCCTAACATCTAGACAATTCTGAGGATGAGCCCCCATCACAGGTTTGGGAAAGACTGCGTACCACTCCGTAGTTAACTGTGACATCACAGCTGGGGCGTGAAAAGCCCTCCCTTTTGGGGATCTCACTTGAGTGACATGGGTACCTCTTCCCTCACTATTCCTTCAGGCACCATATGTAGCTGCCCCTCAGGACTGGAGTCCTGACCCTGCCTCCAGGCACTTCCTCAGGTGGTCTCCATGCTCATTGGTCAATTGGGAAATCTGATGATATACAAGGTCAAAGTTAACAGCTAAGGTTCCCTAAGCTCCGAAGGCAAGCTGAGGCTTAGGTCCAGGATGTCTTGCTTTCACAACATGACAGTTCAGAGGGCCAGGTATCTGGCTGGTGTCAACTTTCCCTGGCCCCAGGTCCCCTCCTTGGTTCCACGGTAGTTGGGCAGAGGGGTCCCACATGGGGAGGAGATGGGAGCCCAGGCTGGTGACACACGTGTGATTCCCAGTCGGGCCACACTAGCTCTGTGACCTTCGGCTCTGCCGGCACCGTTTCCTTAAAGGTGACACAAGTGTAATTAATTTCCACGCTGCCTATCCGTCTGTGTGAGTGACCGACAAGAATAAGATAAAAAATGAGAGCAATGATGTGCGCCTGGCTTGAGAACCAGCACGCTACAGGAATATCCCAGGACTGTGATGGAAATGGGCATCTTTCTGTGGGGCGTCGCCTGGGATCCAGGCAGCGGGGGGCCTTGTTCACGGTTACACTAGCAAGGACTACAGCTAGAAGGGGAGCCAGGCTCCTGAACCCCATTAAAAACAAAACCCCACTGTACATGACAGGCCCATTACCGGACCACTTCAAAGGGAGAGCAGAACGAATGAAAGATTAAAATGGATCCAGCTCATCTGCTTCTGTGCCAGTGCCCTGCCTGGTACCACAGAGAAGCATGCAGCCCCCCTGACATTTTTCTTATGTTTAATTCATCTTAAAGAAACAATGTGTGTCCCCTTTGGCACAGACTCTGTACATTCACTCTCTTTCTCGACATCAAAACTCACTGAGGGACATATGAAAAGGTGAGAGGAGGGAGATGCCAGCACCTAAAACACACGTTCACTGGCGTTTTCCTTCCTAGGAGGGGCTTTATAAAATGATTATTTTAAAGCTGCCTTGGGCAAAAACAGCTCTTGAAAAAGAAACCTGTGATGACAAAGGCAAAACTGAAGGAGCCGCCTAACGAGGACCCCTGGGATCTGATGTGCTCAGGGTTCACGGAGGAACGGGAGGGGCGTCCACAGAGGGGAGAGAGAGAAGCATGAGGCTCTGTGTTCAAGGTCATGTATAAGCCACTGTCCTCGCTCCGGTCTTCTTGGTCCTGTTTCTACCTTAGATGAAAAGGAGTGCATGTCTTTGCCCAAATCTCTCATGTAGGATCAACAGTGTGTCATACAACAGACGCTGAGGGAGTGTCTCCGGTCAGGAACATCCAGTTGGTTGAGCTGGGGATGACCGGCTAGTGCAGACCATCCTGTGACAAAGGCACTGCTACTTCCCCTTTTACAGTATGGAAGTCAAGACTCGGAGAGTTACGTCTTACCCAGGCCACACAGCTAGCGCGTGGGAAAGCCAGCGTCTGAAACCGGACTATAGGACCGTGGGCATAGCCAGCCATGAAGCTGCAACTCAAAACTGTAGGATGCCTGGTGTTGTCTGGTGATGGTCACATGAGCCCATCGAGGTGTGAGGGGCTGTTACACCTCACTCCCATGGAACAGGTAGCACCCTATGGTCATGGTGGAGCACAGCTGAGAGGCTGGAGAACCCTGGCACCTCCTTGTTCACCCAGCGTCCGTTCATCAATTCTTCTAAACCAACTTCTTTGGGACACAAATCTAAGCTTCCTAGCCCAGACTCCACCTGCGGGCTCGGCCTATGGGGAGTGTGGGGGAGAGGGTGACATGCAGAGGAGGGGTCAAGAGAAGGGGCCCTGGCGGCTGAGGGCTGGAGGGACCTGTTGGATAGAAAGGGGAGGCTAATCTATTTTACCCAGTGACTAAGTCTCCCAGCATTGGTTCCCATCTCTATGTCATAGTTGGGACCAGATTTAACTTTTATTTTGCAGTAAATGGAAGAACAAATCAACCAATAAAAGACGACTGAGTCAGTCGCCTCTCAAAGAGAGCGAGATTGTTCTGGATCATGATTACAGGTCATGGCCACCCCAGGCTGTCTATCAAATAGAAAGAATGCTGAGGTGCTCCTTGTGCTTGCTGTGAAGCTGTTGGGGGGTTCCCCACCTATTCTATCAAGAGCTCTGAGCTCTGTGACGCGGGACACTGGTGGCTCACACCTGTAATCCCAGCTCCTTGGGAGGATCATGATTCAAAGCTATCCCTGGCAAATAGCTTGTGAACTCTATCTTAAAAATAACCAGAATAAAATGGGCTGGAGGTGTGGCTAAAGTGGTAGAGCACCTGCTTTGCAAGCATGGAGCCCCAAGTTCAAACCCTAGTCCCCCCCCCAAAAAAAAAGAGCACTGTAAGTTCTCATCGATTTCAGGCTTGATAAGCAGTGTGGGCATGGGGAGAGGTTTGCACTGTTGCCTTCAGGTCAGGTGAGCTTCTGTCTCGTGCAGGGATAAAAAAATTGCAAGAGTGACACTCACTTCCCTTTGCTGCCCTGGCCCCTCCCTGCTCCCGGGAGCAGGATCACTGCTCAGGGAGACCCCTGCACCCCACCTGCCCTCACATGCCCATGGTCAGTGTGGATGTCCCCCCTGGTGCACCAGGGACCCTGGCAGCTGTGGGTGGGGGGGCACAGGCCTTACATTCACGGAGCCACTTGTTGGGGTCCAGCATCAGGTACTGCTTGGTGGTCTCCAGCTCCTTCATCAGCCACTCATACTTGGCTCGGACCTCAGCGATCCTCTGCTGCCGGTGCTCCAGGATTTTCAGTTTTGCATTGAAGCACGTGAGCTCCTGTGCAAAGAAAGGGACAATTCCAGCCTCAGCAGACCAGACGACCCAGTCCCAGGGGACACCACTGCAGGACATTTTAAATCTAGAAAGCAGGCGGCTGTCCCAGCTGCACAGGTGCTGGTCTGCACTGATGGGTACACCCCGGGGACTAATAGCCAGGAAAGCCCCCAGCCCACGAGGCCCCCCATGTAGGAAGCACCAGGAAGACATTTCAGAGAGAGAGGCCCAAAGCTCTCTCCAAAGTCGCTGTGCAAGACAGGTCTGCATACCCCTAATCAGAAGCCATAAGTGCCCCCAGGGAGTCTCCACGCTCAGGGTGGGACCCCTGGGGAACTGCCATCTTGGGGAGGGAAGGTGGGTGGCCTCACCTTGCTGCTGCCTGCTCTTCGCCGCTGCAGGCGCTCCACATCATCGATTTCATAGACTTTAATCTCAAAAGGTTCCCCAAGGCCCCGCGGGGCACCCCGCAGGGGGCCATCCACCCAGCGGACCCCAGTGCTGGCGCTGGGCTTTCTCACAGGGGAGGAGGTATCGAGGGACAGTGCTGGGATGAGCCTCCGTCTCTGAGAACCTAAGGTGGAGAGGAAGTCAGAATTGCTTCGTAAACTTCTAAACCTGTTTGATGCACCGGAGGTGATAGGCACTGCGTGGAACTTCCACCCCTGCCCCGATGTTCACTCCCCTAAACCAGCCCTTGGCTTCTCTCTGGGGCTGAACAAAGTCCCCATTAGCCTTTAGGGCCACCTCCCAGTTCCCACCCGTGACGGGTGCACTGCCATCTAAATAAGTAAGAGCCTGGAACGGTGAGCCACTCATGGATTTGTGGGCAGTAGGAGGTTTTCGCTCTAGGGAAAACATGGCCTGGTGTTTGGGACGGTGCTTGTAGGAGTTCCTGAAAATGGTTTATTTGCTGTAACAACAGCACGGTAAGCACCGACTATGTGCCAGGCACATGCTTCACACACTGATAGTCTGCTAGCTGCCCCCCACATCTGTCTTCCTTTTCTCTTTTTTCCTGCTCTCTTTGAGGTGCTGGGGGTGGAACCCAGGGCCTCCCACAGCCATGTGAGTGCCGTGCCCCAGAGCATGGTGGCCTGCGGGAGATGTGGTGCTCACGCGTGATGCCTTAACTTTTGACCAACAGGACATAAGTACAGGTGGGACAGACAACTGCCAGAGTCTTCAAAGGGTGGTGTCATCTCTTCCTTTCTCCCTTTTCTGGATGAAACACGGGACCGATGGCTGTTCCATGAGGTGACAACATAAACAATGGAAAAGCAAGAGGGGAACCTGGATGCCCGGCACCCTGGAGACTAAGTGAACTAAATCTGTCCACTCTTTTGTGGCCTTTTTGTCACAGACAAGCCCAATCCTAGCTAATGTATATATGGATCTCATTTCACTTCCACAGAAGTGGAAACTGAGGCAGAAGAATGGTAAATAGTTTGCCCAAGGTCTCAGTATTCCTTGTTGAGTAAAAATCTGCCTTCTACATTTTCCACAGAAAAAGACAAAAAAAATCAGATAACAAATGATTTCCACAAAGGATCCATTCCATTGGATCCTGAATGTCCCCCAAAGGCCATGTGTTGAAGGCTTGTTCCCCAGCCTGAGGCATGTTGGGAAGTGGTGGAACCTTTAGGAGGTGGGGTCCAGTGGGAGGAAGTGAGGTCACTGGGGGTGTGGCCTTGAAGGGGACAGTGGGATCCCAGTCCCTCCTTTTCCTCTCTTTGCTTCCCAGCTACCATGAGGTGAGCAGCTTGCTCCTCCATCTGCTCCCCACCATGATGGTCTGCCTCCTAGGCTCAAAGGGACAGGGCCAATCAACCATGGACTTAAACGTCTGGAGCTGTGAGCCCAAATCAGTCTTTTCTCCTTTTTAGTTGTTTATTTCAGGTATTTTGCCACGGTGACATAAAGCTAACATAGATGCATTGGGACTAATTCCACAGAGTCTGGCACAAAACAGATGTACACTGAAGACAAAATTCCTTTTTGATCGCCTGTCTTCAAGGCACTGAATCTCTCTGGGGTAATGTAAGGCACGCAGCAGTGACTTGGGGATGGCTCAGCGATGACAAGCTGTGTGCCCTTAGTGACAGGTCCCTGAAAAAGACTACACCAAGCAATTGTCACAGGATTGGCAGGGCTTAAAGGCCCCAGTGATCACACCACTTTTGTGGTGACTTGTGGAATGAGTGAGTGAAGCCGTGCCTGGTCTTCTGAACACAGGGCCTGATATTTTCATCATGTTTGAAATGGAATTGACCTCTTGCTTTGGGCAGCTACGGTTTGTGTCACTCATTCTGGCCCCTCTGCCTTGGGGCCATGTTATATCTTCAGACCTGGCTCCTTGGAAGGGATGCTGGAGGCTGTTAAAGGCTAGGCTGTGCCACTGGGTGTCCCTTTGGAGGGGACCAGGCACACAGGATGCTTGCTTTCTCCTGGGTGGGAGGGAGGCTGACATCATCCCAACAGATGTGTCTGGACGATGAAGGAATCTACCGTAGCTCTGATGGATTTGTGGTCCCTCCTGAGGTGACTGAAGAAGGTGGAGTCACCTGAAGCCTTTGCTAGCTGCACTTAGGGAAGAACAAATAAAGAGCCCCATCCAAAGTTGTACTGAATTAAAAAAAATGAGGACAAAATGAAACTTACAAAATACTGGTAAAAGAAAGTAAAGAGGACACATGAAAGATGGAGACCCATCTATGGTGATGGATGAGAAGAACAGATCCTCTTAAATATCCATCCTACCCAAAGCGATCTACAGATTTAATGCAATCCCTGTCAAAGTCCCAGTGACATTCTTCATGAAACTAGAAGAAATAATCCTAACATTCATTCGGGAACACGAAAGACCCGAAGAGTAAGTGCAATGATGAGCACAAAGAATAAGCTGCAGACATCGCCATACCTGATTTTCAAGACACTCCTCAGATCCAGACACAAAAACAGCACAGCAGTGGCACAAAAACACACAGGGACCAATGGGATGGAAGCGAGGACCCAGAAACAAATCACACAGCTACAGACAGCTGGTTCTCAATAAAGGTGCCAAAAACATTCAGCCTCTCCATTAAACAGTGCTGGGAAAACTGGGGTCTACTTTCAGAAGGCTGAAACCTGACTGCTATCTCTCACGTGGCACAAAAATCAACTCAAAATGGATCAAAGATCTTATTGTAAGACCTGAAACTTTGAAACTACTAGAGGAAAACACAGGGGAAGACTTCTTCAAGATATTGCTACTACACACTTTCTGGATAGGACCCCAAAAGCATAGGAAACAAAATCAAAAATTAAGAAATGGGATTACATCAAACCAAAAAACTTTTGTACATGAAAGAAATAACAGAGTGAAGAAACAGCCTACAAAACGTGAGAGTTTATCTGCCTAGAGCCAGTCATCTGACAGGATTAATTCCAGAATAAATAGAAGACAAAAAATGTAATCCAATTAAAAACAGGCAAGTGAACTGAATACACTTCCCAAAGGAAAAAATATAACTGATCAACAAATATACGAAAAGGTACTATCATCAGTCAACAAAACCGCAAGGAGATAACCCAGGTAGAATGGCTACTCTGAAAACCATGGTAAATCCTGGTGAGGAGGTCCCAGACACTGTTGGTGGTAATGGAAATTAGTGTAGTCTTTATAGAGAAAAATGTGAGGTACCTCAAAAAAAAAAAAAAAAAAAAACCAAAACTAACATAGATCCACCAGAAGACTCAGCTACCCCACTTCTATGTGTATAGGAAAGGAAATGACATCAGCAAAGAGCCACCTGCACGCCCATGTTTACTGTGGCACTATTCCCAACAGCTAAGCTATGGTGCCCACAACAGGTGAACAGGCAAAGTGAGGTGCAGGTATACACGGGAGTGTCACTCAGCTGCAAAGAAGACAGAGGTCCTGTCATATGCAGCAAAATGGATGGGACTGGAGAACATTCTGTTAAGTGAAATAAGCCAGACACAAAAAGAGAAGTGCCATGTTTGCTCTTTTAGGTGGAAGCTGAAACAAAGTGGACCCGAAGGTGGACTAGCAATCACGAGAAGCTGGAAAGGGAGTGTGTGGGGAGGGGCTGCATGGGAAAGGGAGGCTGGATTTATCAGCAAATGCTGCAGATTTCACACAGATCCCCATCAGCACAGCCAACTAATGCACATCATTGTTTAAAATGGGAAAAAGAAAGAGAGCTTGCAGCAGGGTGGTCCTGAGAGTCTGAAGGCTGCGTGGCCTGGAGGTACCTGTGTGTCAGCAGACTTGAGGAGCTGGAGGTGCTGATCCCTGCACCCCAACCGTGAGGCCTCAGAGAGGTGCAGATGGTGTCCTCACCTCCCTCCAACCTCCTGCCTCCTCCCCTAACTCCAGCAGCGTCCTTCTGTTGAGTCCTGAGCCGCTGGCCTGCTCAGCCCGGTGGCTCTTCCAAAAGGAGAGAAAGTATTCTGTTCTCCAATGTTACGAGATCCGGAGGACGGCTAGGGAAAGCTTTGAGTACCATGACTTCAGAGAGAAAGTCAGAACTCAATTCAGAAGAAGGTGCCAAGGCATGGCTCCTTCCTTACCACCCACCCCTTCCCTACTGTAGGAAGTCGGCTGAGAGGTTGTCAAGAGACAGCTGAGTGACTGTCAGGATGGAACTGGTTCTCTCTATAGAGCATCCTCTGCACTAAGTGGCCTTACCTTCACATCAGACTGCATTTCTCAGATTCTGGATCTTTACCTTGTGTGCACACACATACACAGACACACACAGACACACAAAGATACACTCAGACACACACACAGAGATATACATACTCAGAAATATTCACAGACACACACACAGATACACACACACATAAACACAGTCTCACACGCAGACACATACACACACATACACTCATACCCAAAGACACACAGACACATACAGTCACACACACACTCAGAGACACTCACACAGACATGTACAGTCACACATTCAGACACACACACAGACTCATACAGTATCACACACACACTCGGACACAGAGATACACAGACACACACAGACACACCATCACATACACACTTAGACACACTCACAGAGATATACACACATCCTCAGAAATATTCACAGACAGACACACACACACTCAGACACACTCACAGAGACCCTCACGTACATGGACATGCACAGACTCACACACACACTCAGACACACACACTCACAATACATTCAGACAGGTGCACACTCACACACACACAGACGTGCAGATTCACACGCACACTCACAATACACTCAGACTCACACACACACACTCACAATCATACACAGTTCCAACAAGGCGCAGGCACTGCTCAATGAGACTAGGAAGCATCGACCCTGGGGCAAAGCGAATGTCAGACTCCTGAGAGTTCAAGGCCTTCACGACAGGAATGAATCGCAGAGTGCTTCCTGAAAAACATGGCAGAGCAGCTGGGCACAGTGGCTCACGCCTGTGATCCTAGCTGCTTGGAAGGCTAAGATCAGGAGATTGGGATTCTAGGCCAGACTGAACGTTAGGGAGACTCCATCGCAACCAACAGCTGGGCTGCCATCT